TCAAAGTCACCTTTGATTATGGGCCCATTCTCTCTCTGCAGCCAAAACCCCACTACAGATGAAGTCTTGTCCTGGTCTCAAAATTTTGACAAGATGATGAAGGCCCCGGCAGGAAGAAATCTTTTCCGAGAGTTCCTCCGAACAGAATACAGTGAAGAGAACCTACTTTTCTGGCTTGCCTGTGAAGACTTAAAGAAAGAGCAGAACAAAAAAGTCATTGAAGAAAAGGCCAGAATGATATATGATGATTACATTTCGATACTATCACCAAAAGAGGTAAACAACTGGAAAATATTGATCTGAGTTTCCTAAGACCAAGGGTGAACCTACAGGCACTTCTGTCCAAGTCGGGTAACGCATGGGGTGTGGGCGGATGAGGAGGCTTCCCTGGGGAGAAAATGGGGAGTCCATTGTGAGGATCCCCCTGCGTGTGTGCTTGAAGGCTAGACTTCCTCACTACGCTTTGATCATTTGTCTCTGGCTGACTCTGTGGTAGTCTCATTGCTTCTCAGAACTAACACTAGGAAGCCCGTTGAAAATACGATTTGCTGTGACTTGAACTAAAGTGGAAAAGAGTTCGCTTTGGGGCGGTGTTTCTCAAAGTGCGATCCCCACATCACCCCTGACAATCACCGGGAGCGTTTGTTTGAAAAGCAGATTCTTGAGGTCTACCCAGGACTTCTGAATCTGACACGTTTGAAATAGCCAGGAACCTGCACTTTTAACAAGTTTTCCACCTAAAGATGAGTTTGGGAACCTCTGGTAGAGGGCCTCAAAAACACACACAAACATGCCACGTTTGTTGATGCTTATGATACAATTTTTACGGAACTGAAGAATGAGCCCTATGATCCATTAAAATCTTGAGCAGAGATGGGTATGGTGATTAGTTTACTTATTCTAGTTTTGCTGTTATTGAAAGTACAGGCTATTTTTTCCATTGCCACAATGTACCCAATAAATTAGGAGCCTTTCAAGCAAACAAATTAACACTTTTCCATTAACTTTATAAAAATTAATTTGCTCCTGAGAAATGTCCCTGCTGTTAGAGTTCAAAGCTGTTGGGGAGGGAGGGGTGAATGGTCTGCCTCTGGTGCTGAGCTCCAGAGGTACTTTCCGGCATCTGAACTCAGAGGTTCCTAGAATGCCTTGTCTTCTGCACACCATCCTCGTAAACCACTGTGGTTTTTGCCTGTGCATTTAAATGTCCTGACCTCGTACTTTTCTGCTCCCAGAGTGTAGCCTCTAACACTTGATGGGGCCCCAGCTGCCTTACACTCTTACCTTGACATCTATAAAATGGATTAATGTCTACTTTAGCAATCTCTATGGTTGAAAGTCTATATAAACTACTTCGCCTTTAATGAGGTATACCTAAGTAATTCACTTTTTTATTAGATTATAAGTGTCATTCATATTCCAGAGTACGCTAATCGTATTGTCTCTTAAAGATGAGAAACCTTGAACTGCATACAAAAAGGTTGTTTTGTTTTTTTATTTCCTGTATTAACATTAGAAAGGTATTCATAGCAACAAGGTGGGGAGAATTTTTTCTGTAGCCTCGATACATTTATTCCAGGTGCCTTTGTATTTCTAACACCATTATAATTCTGCATCCTAAAAATACATTATTCAGGCTTCTGGTCTACCTAGTACCTTAGCATTTAACCAATACTGCTTGGATTTTATTAGCACATTAACTTTTTTCTCATTTTTAATTTAATATTTCATTGCATGGCAAATATATCAAATAATTAAAATATGCCTAGAAGCATGCTTCTCTTGCCCATAATCCTATATAATAAAAGGCTAATATGCAAATTGATTGAATGGCGGAATGACCGGTCACTATGATGCACACTGACCACCAGGGGGCAGACGCTCAATGCAGGAGCCACCCCCTGGTGGTCATTATGCTCCCATCGGGCGTGCCACTCAGCCAGAAGCCAGGCAGCAGCAGTGGCAGGACCCTCTCCTGCCTCCAAGGCAATCGGACATCCCCCGAGGGCTCAGGCTGGGCTGAGGGACCCCCCCCCCCAGTGCACGAATTTCGTGCACTGGGCCGCTAGTCTATATAATAAAAGCCCAGCAACCGTGGAAAAACCAGAACAACTGGTCACTATGACATGCACTGACCACCAGGGGGCAGACAAACAATGCAGGAGCTGCCCCCTGGTGATCAGTGCGCTCCCACAGCTGGAGCTCCGCTCAGCCAGAAGCCAGGCTCATGGCTGGTGAGCACAGTGGCGGTGGCGGGAGCCTCTCCCCGCTCTATGGCTGTGCTGAGGAGCAGGAGACAAGCAGTAAGGAGTGAGTAGGCAGGCCGTTAGGAGTGAGGGGTCCCGGATTGTGAGAGGGTGCAGGCCGGGCTGAAGGAATTTTGTGCATTGGGCCTCTAGTTATACATAATTACAGAGTCTTACCCAATATATTTCTCTTCCCAAAATATGTAATACTTAGTATTTGTCATCTTAAAATGATAATTGCCTAGATTATCAGTCCATTCCTTTGTACTATCTAAAAATCATCTTAAAATGATGACTATTCCATTTTAAAATAATGTTAGTAGAAAGAAAACTTAGTTTCTGTTATAAGTATATATAGTTCCTTTACTTTAGTCAACATTTTCTAATTTTTAGTTTTTTATGGGAAACACTTTCCCATTGTCCTCACAGATCCTGATTTCCATATGTCACTGATGGAGCTTTGCAAAATACTTAATTTTCACAAAATTACTTCTTCTTTGAGCCATAGTTTAGCGAAATCATAGTTATTGATTATTGAAAGATAAACTATAGGATTTTCATTCTCTTTGTGAAAGTAATGGAGTTTTGTTCCAGCATAATTTAGACTTGAACTTGAGTTTCCCACAACGGTCATTAAAATAATATTTCCTGATCACAAATACAATCTTTGCTAAATTAAATAGACTAATATTTAGTGTAATAGTCATATCTTTGTTCTCCTTTATTTTTTGAAACCTGTAATTAGGTCATACTCACTCTCTAATATCCTGAAACTGCAGTTTAGGCCTGCTCCCCGCTGGCAAGTGGACATCCCCCGAGGGCTGCCGGGCTGCCAGAGGGATGTCTGATTGCCATCTTAGGCCCAATCCCCCGGGGAGCGGGCCTAAGCCAGCAGGTGGTCATCCCCTGAGGGGCCCCAGACTGCGAGAAGGCACAGGCCAGGCTGAGGGACCCTCCCCTCCCCCCCCGAATGCACAAATTTTTGTGCACTGGGCCTCTAGTCTATATAATAAAAGCCCAGCAACCGTGATGGTGGAAAAACCAGAACGACTGGTTGCTATGACATGTACTGACCACCAGGGGGCAGACAATGCAGGAGATGCCCTCTGGTGATCAGTGCGCTCCCACAGCTGGAGCTCTGCTCAGCCAGAAGCCAGGCTCATGGCTGGTGAGCACAGTGGCAGTGGCAGGAGCCTCTCCCCGCTCTATGGCAGCGCTGAGGAGCGGGAGACAAGCAGTAAGGAGTAAGCAGGCAGGCCGTTAGGAGCAAGGGGTCCCGGATTACGAGAGGGTACAGGCTGGGCTGAAGGAATTTTGTGAATTGGGCCTCTAGTTATACATAATTACAGAGTCTTACCCAATCCATTTCTCTTCCCAAAATATGTAATACTCAGTATGTGTTATCTTAAAATGATAATTGCCTAGATTTTGAGTCCATTCCTTTGTACTCTAGATATTATCTTAAAATTTGACTATTCCATTTTAAAATAATGTTAGTAGAAAGAAAACTTAGTTTCTGTTATAAGTATATATAGTTCCTTTACTTTAGTCAACATTTTCTAATTTTTAGTTTTTTATGGGAAACACTTTCCCATTGTCCTCACAGATCCTGATTTCCATATGTCACTGATGGAGCTTTGCAAAATACTTAATTTTCACAAAATTACTTCTTCTTTGAGCCATAGTTTAGCGAAATCATAGTTATTGATTATTGAAAGATAAACTATAGGATTTTCATTCTCTTTGTGAGAGTGGAGTTTTGTTCTAGCATAATTTAGATTTGAACTTGAGTTTCCCACAAGTCATTAAAATAGTATTTCCTGATCACAAACACAATCTTTGCTAAATTAAATAGACTAATATTTAGTGTAATAGTCATATCTATTTTCTCCTTTACTTTTTTAAACCCGTAATTAGGTCATACTCACTCTCTAATATCCTGAAAATACTACAGAGGGTGGGGGGAGGTAAAATTTAAATTTTTATCATTGTTACTTATAAATATGCTGACTTGTAAAGAACATAACATAGAATCTAAGTTTTGGACTGTATGAAGTGCCTTTGTTTAGCCAGTTGATTGCTTTCCTATCAACATAGTAGTCATACAGGGATAGTCAAAATGGGGGTTTACAGTTGTGAATACAGGAAACACAGAGTTTATTCTTGTATTAATAATTTATTAATTATTGTAAACCTACTTTTGCCCACTCTTGTATTTGATTATTGTTTGTCAGCAAAAACAAATAAACCAAAAACATTAGGTATTTGCAATTATAAAAGACAATGGTTAAAAAGTTATGTGTTGAGCCAAAGTGTAGATATAGTATATATTTGCACTTGAACCATGTCAAATGGCTTAACTCACTGATACACTTACAGTATAGCATGCCCGTTGTAGCTATCCCAGAGCCCTTTCCAAACTCTTACATCTCTCTGACCTTTCTATGCAAAAACTCATCAATTTCTAGTCAGCCTCAACACATTACCCATTGTCTGACAATACTGAATTATCACCCTTTACATTTTGTTAACCTGCACTGGAGAGAGCACGTAGCATTGAGACAGCCCTGACTGGCCAGTAGTGGGAGCACTGGACTGGTATGCAGGTGCATGAATTCTAGTCCTGGCTCTGCTTCACCTGCCTGTGTGACCTGGATAAATTAGTTCACAAAATTCAAAAGGGGCACAGAGAGGAGTAAACCAAATCGGGAACTGCAGCTGCAAGGCCCTTGGACTGCTACTCCATTCTTCCCCCAAATGACACGGTTAATAAATCCTGGGCCTCCTAACTGCATCCCCAGATTCAACCTCAGAACATCTCACAACACTGTTCTCCAAGCAGCCACTACAAACCAAGTGGGGTCGGAATCTCTTCCCATTGAGTGGCTAGATAATCTGGCCTTTCTACCTCTGAAATTCTGTAACTGCTTCCCTTTATTCCAAATATTTTAAAGAACAAGAACATCTGAATCCTTTATAAAGTGGTAGTGAGTAAATACTAAAAATTCTCAGGATTTCCTTCTTAACCAG